ATATTTCCAAAAATGGAATTTTTCTGAGATTTAAACCCAGGACGGAGGTATTTCGAGTTATAAAGCCAGGCATTCTAACTATAACTGAGCAGTATACCTTCGTGAACAAATTCAGTACTATTTTAAAATAAAAAAGTCTTTTTTAATAACATCATTTGCTACTTCTTTCAATTAGATAATTAATATTAACAGAAATAAAAAAAAATGTGAAAAGAATATTGTAAGTATGGTTGGCAAACCTATTAGAATACAATAAATACCATAACAACATGACATAATATAATTAAAGTATAATGATAATTATTGTTAATTAGTGTTACTTCATGGGAAAAAGATTTTAACAGAGGTCTTTTAATTCACACAAATTAAAATCTGCAGCCATTTTATTAAACCTGCCAAGTTAATAAAAATTATGATTTAATTATTTAAATATTAGTAGAAGGATTAATTAATGGATGTAGTAAAAATTTATTACAAAATAAATTCATTGTATTGATGAAAAATGAGTTGACAAACATTTGATGAATTTTCTAATCAAAATTTAAATGAAACATTTGACGATTATTAGTGAACGAAAAAGATGTAACAAACGATAACATTTAATCTACGTAATGGTAGTGCTAAATTAATATTCTCAATATCCACTATAACCTATAAATAGCTTTATAAAGAGAGCACTTATTCATTTAACCGGAAGCACTTGAGATGGGACGATTGAAACGCCAATTCTCGCTTCTTTTTCTTCGCTCTTTATATTCTTCCAACTCTTGAAGAATAAAACGAGCGAGTCGGTGTGCAAACTAAAATGAACGGTCAACCACATCATCATCATGTCTTAAAATCTCCTCCTTTCTTTATATAAAAGAAACACGCTAGAATAAAGGTACTCTCTTGAAACTCAACAACTTGGAAGCGCTAAGAATTTGAATCTTTACCTGTTAGAAAAAAATTCCTGTATGTCCTTTGATTATGAAAGAATACTAAACCAGTTTGATCATGTTTCAATCAATTATTACGCTTGATGAAGAAATTACACTAACTTTTATACCCTCGAAGAATAAAAAAAAAGAAATAAATTCCCTGTAGTCAACTGGATGTTAACAAGATCCAACTCTCATCAGTGATGATTTTATCTTTTTTTTCGCACATAATAGAAAGTAGATCGATCACATATTTCAAGTTATTTATAATCACATTCTTTCAGGCAAAATTGATGTGTTTAATCAACCTAACATCTTTCGTAACATTTTTTACTCTTTTTCTCAGCAGTATTTTTATCTATATAACGAGCATATTACATCACTTAGTGAATATATGATGTTAAAATGACGATATAAAATGAACGGAGAATTGAAGAAGATTAAGTGAAAAAAAGGGTTAGCTAATGAAGTTGTGATATAAATAATGATTCAAAAACTGGTGGCTTATTTCTACTACTGATATTAAACACATAAACGTTACAATATGAAAACACGCGCCACCAGGGTATAGAATAGCCACTCAGGAGCTCCCCTCGGTTATAAGAGTAACGAGCTTGCTTGCAACAACTCAGTGGGCACTGAGAGCTCCTATAAACTCATGAGTTTCGTCTCGTATTCCCTCGCATGTCAATCGTAACACAATAGACGGTATTATATCCACTGAAACATCGTGTTATATTTGCAGGTATTATTAGTAGTTGTTAACACTTTTATTCAAAAGTCATTTATATACTTATTTCAATGCTCTTTTATTGTTGCAGCTAATATTTTAGCATTTTATTCATCTCTATTTATTCTATTTATTCAGTTATTTGTTCAGAAGATGTAATCAAAAAAAATAAAATAAAAAAAAAACATTGATTTTTAGATGCATTCAGATAGCACAGTGGACCTTTTTGATTCACTGGAGAAAAATCGATGGCATTTTCCCAAAATTTATCGCCTGTTGTTCACGCACGATTGAACTCTTTTTGACGGGAAAATAAAAATAGGAGCGGAAAGATTGAATGTGAAACATTACTAATAGGTAGCAGACTTTGGTTACAATAAGAGGGACAGAAAAGTGTCACTGGATTCGCTCATAAATCTGGACAATCTAAATCATCTACCCTTACATTCTGTCCTACATCTATATATGTATACATATCTATAAAAATATATATTGAAAGAAAAATTGATTCAACGACTTGAGACTTATCATTCGATTATTGTGCTTAGAAATATAAGTGAGCTTAGATTTGCCAAGTGGTCTAATGGGCGTGTCTTTTTATATTATAAATGAAAAAGTATACCTACTGTAGAATGAAGGTCGAGAATCTTAAAGGAGGAGCAGCCGTTCCCGATGTCATTGACACAATGAGTTAAAAGTTATCTACGACAAACTGTGACACTCACCCTCCCAACTAATAGTGAGTGTGAAGAAAAAGAAGAAGTTGAAGAAGAAGAAGAAGATACGAGAGATGAAGGAATCAAAAAAGAATAAAAAATTCTGTATGGAAAAGATTAGGGGTTGTCCCGCTTAATCGACGTCTTCAGAGCCTGCAAAAGAATATAAACTCTCCCTTGGATTTTTGTGAATGAAAAATAGCATGATCTATAGATTTTTCTATTGTTCGTGAATAAAAAAAAGTCGCGAGTCGAATGATTTTTTTTGTCGACACACCCAGTTAGTTATTATAATTATAATGAAGTCATCTATCAAAAAATAGCCAGAAGGTATAAATTTATTGGAGAAAGTAACATCAATTGAATAGTAAATAAAAATAAATATCGAAAAATATAGGAAAAATTTTGAGATATGTTTTTATTACACATAAGATTCGTATTGTTATTTTTGTTTGTTATAATATCAACATCATTGAATCTTTATTACGTTGAGTCTAAATTACATGGATTTGTTGTTAGAGAAAACCTTTATTAGGATAATTTGATAGAATGTTTTAATGAAGATACATAAAATATTTTCAATACTTTTGAAAAAATTTAAAGATTAGATTTCTTTTTATTCAATAGGATATATTCCTTCAAAAAATCATAAATTTATTTTTTTCCTTATTTTTTAGAACAGTGTATCGTAATTAGGAATCAATTGAAGAATACTTATTTTCACGCTAGAAAAAATCTACTATTGTATAAGAATTTTTACTAGTCCATTAAGAGAAAAATTTACAAGCTAGAAAAATTAAAAATTACTATTTTTGTTTAGTAAAAATAGCTAAAAAAACTTAAGAAAAATTTGATTCACTGAAGAAACATCGATGGCATTTTGGTATATTCTGGTTGGTAAAAATTTCTAGAAAAAACTTTTTGAATTCAGAAATTTTTACGAAGAGGAATTGTAAATTTTACTCCAATAAACAGTAGCCTGTCACTTTGGGTAAAGAAATAGCAATAAACAATTGTTTAATTAGTATATATTAAAATATTAACTTGTAAGAACTTTTTTATGAATCAAAATTGTGAACTATACAAAAATAAATATATGTAAAATATTACAATTGGACTATAATAAATTTTTAACAAGAAAAAATTGTAATATATACTCATTGAACAATTGCTAATTGCTATTTTTGTACCTGAAGCGACATGCTACTATTCATTAGAATAAATTTTACAATTTCTTTTTCTCCGTGTATTTCTTATTCAATATACAATGTCAGTATGAGTATTTTTAATGGATATATTATCGTACCAATGACATATTTTATTCAATTATTGCAATTGATTATTTTTTATCAAATTAAATGGATAAATTATTGTTTAAGTTAATTTTAAGCAATAAATTGTGACTATTTGATATTCAATATGAGTAAATTTTTTTCTAAATGTGAAAATTCATCCATAAAAACCTTTGCAGATATTAAAGAAATTTTTTTTTTATTTTAAAAAATTTGGATTGCGAGTAATTTCATTGATTTATTCAATGACCTAACTTGATCTAATTTCATTCACACTAATGCATATCACGGCGACAATTTTTTCTATATATTTTTAATATTCCCAATTTACTTCACCAACAGTTTCTTAATATTTATTATCAATCATTTTTAATTACTGTTATTAAATTTTATAATCAGACTTCTTTAACATTAATGCGGTTTGAATATTGCTAACCAGAAGTCGATATCTCAGTTCGTTAGTAAGTTATCGTGTTGGAAAAATTGATCGACGGACTAATATATATATATACACTCATGGCGACTCATGTAATTTTTCTTAGAAATAATGTTAATGGACTTTAAGCATCGTGAAATAAAATAGCATCTTTTTAAACAAGAATCATACATTAAATATTCGATGTAAAAAATTCATTATTTAAATATTATTAATTGGTAACATTTATCTCATAAACTTGTTTCAATTAAGAATTAATCGAACAGAAAATTATCAAGGCTGACTTAAGGATTATGTTTGGAATGTCAGAGATCTGAAAGTATCTTTATAAGGAATATAACATTTGAAATCATGAGATCCTGATCAGACAATCTTATCAAAATTATAATCATCTGGAATGAGTAAATTCTTAATATTCTTAAAAACAAAAAATAACTTACATGATAGTTTTTATCATTTATTCGTATACGAGATAGAGATAAATTAAAAATGAATTTCATTTCAAAGAATAAATGATTATAAAATGAAAGATTTTTAATTATATTTAATCACAATTAAGAGTAAAGAAATTATTCTCATCCAGATGAGATTTGGCAAGGAATGTTTCACCTTGAAAACGAATAGTTATGTGGTTTTGGATAGGGGTCTTATATTAAATAATGTAACATAGTACCTTGTCAAGCCTGATATGGCCTTGATGATAGTCTAAAATATTCTCCCAGTTGTGTGTTTGAGATTTGTTGCTTGGTTCAACACAAAATAAACTACTCTAAAGTTTCATACAAGTAAATGAGAAATCATTATATCCTTCAATCAATACTTGATGAAAATAAAGTCAAAGTAATAAAAAGAATGATATTATTTCTGAAGGATATTATATGCTTAATAATGAATGAATAATTACAGGCCACAGTGGTGTTAATCAGCTTGGTGGTGTCTTTGTCGGAGGTAGACCACTTCCAGATTCGACTCGGCAGAAAATAGTTGAGTTGGCACACTCAGGTGCTCGACCTTGTGATATTTCGAGGATTCTTCAGGTCAGCAATGGATGTGTTTCCAAAATACTGGGCAGGTTGGTTGAAATACTGTATATTCTGGATAGATATCATGAGGAAATTATATATATATAAAGTTCCACCACAAGAATTTCAAGCTTGCGTGTACGTCATTTTCTATCTCACACTTGACCAACTCAATAAACAACATTCCTTGTGATAACATTGCACAACAAATAGTTTGACATAGTATTAGCATGATTGGACATGTGTTATTCATCAAGGTGTTTAAAATCGTATGTGAAATTAAATCGCAAAAATACTATTGCTGTTACAGGTATTATGAGACAGGGTCAATAAGGCCTAGGGCAATTGGAGGAAGTAAACCACGAGTTGCAACAACTGAAGTTGTTGGAAAAATTTCCCTTTATAAAAGTGAATGCCCATCAATATTCGCGTGGGAGATTCGTGATCGATTGCTACAAGAGGGTGTTTGCACCAACGATAACATTCCAAGTGTAAGTCACAACTAAACTTTCTCTATTTTCTTTTCACTACAAACATTTTATTGATTAACTTAATATAATTATCACTTTCCTAAATAAAAATATCATTAACATTTCAAGAAATTTAATAATTCTAAAAATAAAACTAATCTATAAGTTAAATAGTTAATCAATTTTTTGAAGTCTTTGTAAAGTAATTATTTTTTCAAGTAATAAAAATTGAAAACTTTTAAATAAAACTTCAATCATTGATAATAAACATTTTATTGAAATATAGACTCAAAATTTTTTTGTTTTAAAAGTCGTTTAATGATAGATGCATTCAAATAGTATTTAAAATTAAGCTGTATAATGGACATCAATAGGGTGACAACTGTTGGAGTATTACAAACTGTGAAAAAAAAAGTATCCATTAAAAGAGCTTTTAATAAACTCTTACAGTGAATGACAAATATTTATAGTCCAGTGTTTGTGATAAAAATAGATCAAAATTAATACAAAATTCCGGTGACAAAAAGTTTTGTGTGAATAATCCAGTATGTTTTATCATAAAAAATGAAAATTTTGTCAGAAATGTGATGTAACGATGAAAATCACGATGATGATGATGATGATGATGATGATGATGATGATATTATGATTTATAATATTTCATCAAGATAATTCAAACCATGACGTTCTTGAGCTCTTTTTGGACTGGTTGCCATGGATATTTGCATGCGTCCAATAAACGGTGGCTAAAGGGGCCGCCGACTAGCTTAACGCGAGAAGCAAAAGAGGGTCGCAACCCCTCTGCGTCTTACCCGCCTCCAACTACTGTCTCTTTTGCTCAACATTGGTGTCTTTAACGTGGCAAGAGCCCTACTCCTCGCGCCTTTCGTAATGGCTCCAAGGAATACGCGTCACCCTTAAGGAAAAAGCTCTTCAAGGGGCGAGGGTAGATTCCTAAAGAGTACTTCCTTTTCGTCTTATCTTTCTCACTTATCACTTTGCTCAGTCTTATCGCCATTTTGTTTAATGTAAAAAAGCATGAAAATGTAGAAAAACATTTTATGAATATTCTTGTGTATCGACTTTATTTTTGGCCATTTTTTTCCCAACACCCTAATGAGATTATCAATTGACTGTGATAGATTATTATACGGACCATTAAAAAATCGTTAATCTTAACCACAACAAGTTATTGAAGAAGAGAAAGAGAGAAATCCCCGGAAAAGCTTACGGAGATGCTCAGAGTACTTCTAGTTGGATTACGGTACGACGCTTTGATCCTTACCCCGTAGTGCTGCTGGCTTGTCTTCTCACCCTCTCATTTTCATGCTTGTGCACGCTGTAATCGTGTAATTTGTTAAAACGTAAAATTCTTGGGATCATTCACTCTGAGGCCACCACCACCACCACCACCATCACACCACGTTATAGATACAAGAATAAGACTGCAACTTTCTTTCGTTATTTTCCACGTGGATTATTTTCTTTGCAACCAAACAGATTTTTTCTTTAAGCAGAAATGTATTTACTTGGTGAATTCATGAAAGAGAAAATTATGACAAGAGAGAGAAAGAGGAAGCTGAAGAAGGAGAAGAAGAAAAGACTGAAATTGGAATGAGAAGAAGTAGAGTATGGGTCGAGAGAAAGTAAAAGGGGAAGAGAGAAACAGAGAACATATTCCGAGCAAGTCGTAGTGATTGGAGAAAATTTCATTATTTTCAGACATTACCCCCGTTATTGTAATGCCATCAAATTGGATACACTTGGTACACCAGCCTTTCTTGTCTTCAATCTCTGCATTTACTTTGATTTTTCCTTTTATACTTTTACTCGTTTTCTTTATTTTCTCAATCAATCGCAATTAAACATGAATTTTTATTTTCATCAAAATAATAACGGCTTTTATTAAACCCACAATCAAATATCTTCGCTCAAAATAATAGTGAGCTATTATTCTATTGGCTGACGCTGTGAAATGTCCTATCAAGTTGAAAATGTTACGCATTCCCTTTAGATTTGAATGTGCCACCGAGTGACGGTGGCGGCCAGATTATTGGTTTATTCGCGTCACTGACTTTGCCCAGGGGTTCTCACCATTCTGTCTTTCATGACCAATCATTATATTTCATTATTAATCAATGTCATACACAATCAGTTATTGCTTATTTCTCTAAATATTATGCAAATACCACTAATTATAATAAATTATTTGAGAAATTTACCATTATTTGAATTGAAAAGTTCTTAATTTAGTAAATTAATAATTGCCATACCATAATAGCATTAACGATAAAATCATTTTCTATTTAAATTAAATTGTTTATATAATACATTCGACTAATGATTAATAATCTTTTGTTTGTATTAATTAATAAATAAATATTTTAATCATAATATTACTTATTCCATTAATAAGAAATATTATTAATCATTTAATTGATTTAAAATAGTTAGGACAATTGTTCTGAGAATTAAAATTTAAAAGTTTAATTTAAATTAAAAAAAAAAATAATTAAAGTGATGTAGAATAAAATATTCGTAGAAAATTTGATCTACATAGAATAATTTTTTCGTATATTTTATTGTCGAAAATATATATTCTGAATATATCAACGTGTGATTTCTTTCCGCAAGGAAAAATATTGTAATCTGGATAATATTCACGTTAAAAGAAATTTTGAAATAAAAATTTTACCAAATTCTTAGTAAACTGAGTAATAAAAGTGACTTTAAAAAAAAGGTTGTAATCAACTTGGAGTAATTTCTGTTCTCTTTAGAAATAATTTTTAACTTTCCATTCGACAATTGTTTTGATAATTTCAATTTTTTAAATAAAAAATTTTTACATTTTAAGGTCTTCGTGTAATTATGTGTGTGTGAGTGTACATTTGTGACCCTTTTTTCATCTTAGCACATCTTGAGACCAAATAATGCTATCGATTTCGGTCAAATATCACATAATTATATGATAAACACTTGATTAAGTTTTCATTCAACTTGATACAGTGGTATCTTTTTACAACAAAAGCTGGTATTCACTAAAAGTCTCTGAGGGTAGCAAATGGAAAGTTAGTAGTGATCAAATTACACCGAGACTTCTTTTTACTCGGCACATATTTTTCAGAATAAAATCAAATTTGAATTAAAATTGTATAATTCAGCTTTCTGTGGTTGAATGTAGAAAAATATCAATGGGTGTTTCGGTGGATTCGGAAGCGAGAGTCCGAGCTTGCGCCCAGGGAATTCGATAGACGTGGTAAAGTAACCGCAACAATGCCCGGGAGGGTAATGGATGGGCTTAGAAAGCCAAGGCGAGTGAATTGTTGGCTTGGTGGTCTGAGAAAGAAGACTCTAAGGGAGTTAGAATCGCGCGCGCGGAGACACCCTTTTTCTCATCCCACTCAAGCGTAAATCAATGCACCCCCCTCAATCCTTGTCGACTTCTGGCGCGTCGCGAGAGCGTGCGAACGGCCTCGGAGGTTGAGTTAAGGGGCGTCGTAGACGTCCGGCTACTGCATTATGTATTTCTCAGTGAACTAACCTCGACTTTCAGTTTCTCTCTTCTGCTTCTTCTTCTTTTTTTTTTCATCTCACACCCTCGTATGCCACTTTTTCTCTACTCTACCACATCTTTTTCTTCCCTAGCCGCTTTAATCAGCGATCATGTCACCTCGACAAAGCACCCAACTCTGTAAGTATAAAACTTACGAGAGAAATCAATTTTTCTACTGCATCTTTACATCATTTCAATATATATGTACACTTGTATCTGTTTCACTGTTCTCTTATTTCTCTAAAGATCAAGTATCGTTTCAAATATAACCGCATAAGAATATCTTGCCTTACGCTGTTCCATGTAAAACCACTTGGATATTTTTCATTCTTGTTTTTGTTATTGAAAAAAGGTCGCCAATTCGATAATTAAGTAATTGAATTTTAAAAAAAAAAATTATTTATATTCACAAGTATTTAAGGATGGATAAATAAAAAGCTTAGAAAATAGTGTTTTTATTATTCACTGATATAAAAAAATTTTTCTTTTCTACTTCAAACGTAATTTAAATGATTTCTACTTGCAAAAATATACATATTGAAATGAATGAAATAATGATATATTAGCATAACTTGGTTTTCTGCTAATAACTTAGGATCTATGAGGCCTATATAGACAATGAGCATATCAATAAATTTGTGAAAATAAGATCTTTTAATTGCACTAGTTAAAATCATAATTAGAGCATAATTTTTGGTAAAATTGAAGGAAGTTCCCATTTTACCCCATTTTAGGGGTGAAATAATTGATTTTTCATATGTTTGACTTGATTCCGCATTTCCACGTATCAAGACGAAAAGAATGAGTGGTCAAACTTGAAAATCGGACAACTTTGATTTTTCAACCCCAAAAAATGGCAAGTGGTACCCCTTTCCATTTTTTTTGGCCAAAAAATAAAAGTACTCTGATTTTCAAGTTTGACCACTCATTCTCTTCATCTTGATCCGTAGAAATGCGGAATTGGGACACGGCCCGGAAAAAATTAATTTTAACACCCTCAAAAAGGGGTAGAACTGGATACACATTAAAAACTATCATCCCCTTGACTTTAAACCCCTATAACTCATGAACGGATTGTCTAATAACTGTTTTTGAGGACGTTTTGGAAAGCTCAAAATCTGAGCTAAACATACATATCCATAAAAAGTGTTAAAAAAATTGCTTTCACCCTTAAAATCGCTAAAATATAACAAAAAATCACATTTTTTTGGGAAGTTGCCAACTATTTTGGCAATTTTGAGGGTGAAATAAATTTTTAAAACGTTTTTCACGGATATGAATCTTTAGCTTAGATTCCAAAGTTTTCAACTTTGGACCTCTATTACTCGTGGAAAAATTATCTGACGATGATTTTACAGAAGTATTTAAAAACTTTGGAATCTAAGCTAAAGATTCATATCCGTGAAAAACGTTTTAAAAATTTATTTCACCCTCAAAATTGCCAAAATAGTTGGCAACTTCCCAAAAA